GGATACGACTGTGTTTATGACTGCAGGCGAAACTGACGCCGCAGGTACATCGCACTCATGTATAGTATGCAGGTGTTCCACACCCGTGGGCCCCGGGTAGTGGGTAAGCCGCATGCAACGTACCGTGTGCAACGTACTGCATTGTCAGGAGCCGAGTCACAGCAATTCGAACCGCAATTGCTAGTTGTCCTCATCAATATTACAGATTGATGGACGATCAGAACGCTCAGATGCTTGTGTTTTGAACGACAATTTCATTCGAAAGAGCGATTTTCTACTGAGATAGTTGATAAATGTCGATTGGCATGACATCGTACGATTTAGTACATACAATTGTGGATCACTGACGTACAAGAAAGAAATAGCGAGAGAAAGATTCTCGGTCAATAGTAGACCAACAGACAATAGAGAAGAAATCAGCAATCCACGCTAAGACTTAAGGCAACCCTGAATCGACAAAAGTCGCGTACAGACCAGCCACAGAAAGACTTTCAGACCAATGTGAACGACAAGATGACCCCGAGGGTCACGGCCGCAAATGAGCAACAACTTAGTTACCCCAGTCATTTTCAGCATATAGTCGAGACGGCGAGCTAAGCCTAACATTTGAGGCTTTGTCGCCAAAATTCTCGGGGAAGGTTGAATGATTTTTCCCCACGTCTCGAATTCGAGAAGATGTGCTCGAACTTGAACACGTGGAATCCTTAGATGAGCCTCACGTTGATCCGAGTTGACCCGTGAGATAGTACCTATGGCCGCCGTATGGCGGAAGGTACGCTAGTCAGAGAGTCGAGAAGTAGGTCTCTCTGAGTCCAGAAGTGTCGCCATAGCTAGGGCGATGCTGCAAAGAGTATCGATGAGCTTCTTTTGAAGTTCCCCAGTATAGTTTCTAAAGTTTTGTCTTGGATTTTATCTAAGGCACATAGTGAGATTTTAGCGAGTTGCCATGACAAACGAGTACCAGCGAGACTGGCCAATGCGGTACCGCCCTATTGCAGTATCCAGACAGAGACCCCAGTTTCTTGAACTTGGGTTAACGGTGTATAACAGCCATAAGGCCGAGAAAATTATGGAGGCTTGAAATAAGAGTCACTAGTCCGAATTTACCTGGGGGCTTGATACCGGAGTTGCCATGGCATAGCCGAGATCACTAGCAGGAGGAAGACAGAATTCAGAATTAGAATTCTTAAACTTGAAGTTTAGAGTTTTGTCATATACCTTAGTTAGCTTTTCCAAGTTCTTGGAAGAGTGCTTGGTTTGCCAGCAGGTGAATGCCAAGCACAAGTTCCACTCAGTTTCGTGCAACCATTAGAGGTTTTGTTGTGAAAGTGGGAGCATGTTACCATGGATTTCGTTACGGGACTACTCAAATCAAAAGAGCATCTCGATGTGGTTTGGATAGTTGTGGACCAACTGAAAAAGTCGGCCCGCGTTTAGCCCTGAGGATGACGATGACCATGGAGCAGTTTTTCAGTATTTACGTCTGTGGGATTACTCAATTCCATGGAGTATCCGAGACCATTGTGTCAGTCTGAGATCCCTATTATATAGGCTCATTCGAGATCCTCGATTGAGTGGACGAGATAGTATGCAGTTTGGCGTTGCCACCCGAGCTTCCGGGTGTGCACAACGTCTTTCGCATTTCGATGTTAAGAAATTACGTGCATGATTTAAGGCACGTGTTGAATTTCAGAAAGCTCGAGGTCGGGCAGAACCTGACTTACGAGGAGCAGCCGGTAGCGATATTGGACCAAAAGGTCCAACGACTGAGGAATAGAGATGTATCTCTAGCCCGCGTTCGCTAGAGCCGCCATGGCGACCCGAGACCGAGGCCACTTGGGAGCGAGAGGATGAGATCCGCGCTCGTTATCCAGAGTTACAGTTCTCACTAGTAATATTTACTTTTCGATTCCTAGTTATAGTCGAGTCGGACTTATGTTTAGTTTTAGCATTTCCGAGGACGAAAATATTTTAAGGAGGATAGATTGTAACGCCCAAATTTTTATTTACTATTTATGGAGCTCGACTATATTTCCATAAATATTATGTTTATA